GACGTCTTTTGTATTTACATGTTTGAATTGAAATGAAGAGTTACTATAGATGGTTTCGATCATTTGAACGCTACTGTGGTTGTCAAATTCATTTTCAGTTAAACTGATCACATGGTTGCCACCGATATCAGATGCAATAGTGGAGAAACAGTTGGCAAGAGTCTCAGCAACTTGCTTTTGATCTTCAATAATGCCATCCTTATGTTTGTTTTTAAGGAATATTGGATTAGCATCTTTTGTCTTGTTGTTCAGAAAAGGTCGAAATAAAAAATACAAAAAAATACAAAATACAATTATTGCTCCTGTATGGAAGGAGGTAGACTACTCCGATCAGTTAGTGTCACCGTGTTTTAGATTGGTCGAATACAAATGGAATGTCTTGCAATCCAAGCAAATGTAAAGAGTTGACGATCAAAAAGAGAGGCAACCACGATCTCTATTCACCTGTTAGGATGATACCAAGCTGTAAAGAAGTTGAGATTTTTGGCGTCACCTTCCAATGTGAAAGCAAATTATCAGTGCACGTGAAGAACAAACTTATTAAAGCTAACAAATCCCTACATATCCTTAGAACGCTGGGCAAAGAGGGGTACAATCAGTCAGAAATAGACCTTCTCTTTAATACAATAGTTCTACCTAATATTAATTACGCATTATCTGTCTACGCCTCCTCCGAGTCCGATCTTACACCTGTACAATATTTCTTAGACCGCTGTTTCAAAAGGAAATATACGTCTAAGCCTGTAAGTGATTATGATTTCTTGGAGGCAAGACCGTAGAATTTTCAGACAAGTTACTAAATAAATGCTAAAGGCATCCACTTTTATCTATTATGCCTCGTGTTAAACCGTCCAGTTACAATATTAGGGCCTGTTTACATGGAGTGGGGGACCACGGTCTAGTGGGGTAGGTTTCTTTTGTTTTGTGTCCCCCAGAGCGTGAAAACAAAAGAAACCAGCCCCACTAGACCGGGGTCCCCCACTCCATGTAAACAGGCCCTTAGGAACGAAACTTGTTTTAAACCCAAGATTAACACTATGCGTTTTAAAAACCCTTTTATTAACCGTTTAGTTTTTAAATATGAATAAGCTATGTAATATACTAGATTTTTAATTCTTACTTTTTATCTTTTTCAAAATTTTTTACACTTAATTGTAACAAAAGATATGTATTTTTAATCTTCTGATGAATAAAGACTTTATTGTTATTGTTTTGTTATTTCATAATAAATCCGGTCGTTCCAAACGCAAAATTTGTTCAATTTTACGTTTCTCTTGGTCGATTTTGGTAAAGTGTGTGCGAACAAGCTCCAGCAAAACTCAAATGCCTCTTCTAGAGAAGACTATTTTCCACAAATATTGACTGGTTTGTTAGAGATTCATTGCGTTTACATTTGACTTGTGTGGCCTTATGTCTTTTGTCTCTCATTCGTAAACAATTACTAATGTAACTACTCCGTCGACCAATCAGCGCTTCTGACCGGATTCCGGACAGATTGTACGTCAGCAGTATGGAATTTCTGTCGCTGAGTCGCAGACGTTCCTCCGCGCGAAACGTGCTCAGCGGCGAAGAGCGAGGAGAAACGGTTGTTTTCGCAGGCTAAAAAGCGTTCGGCAAACTGAAAATGGCTAAGAACGCAGTTTTGTTAAACACTGGCTAAATTCCGTTTAAGCAACTGGGTCGTACTGATTCTGGTATGGGATGCGCTTGCACAAGTTAAATGTCGAACGAGTTTTCTTTAAAAAGTTGTCCTTAACCTTTCAAGCTGATGACGTCACAAGCAATGCAAGGGACGTGGATCCGCACGGGCGGTTACTGGAGGACCAGGGGGGAATGTGCTAACCTCACTCAATTTCGAATTCCGTGCTTTTCAATCATGACTCACTGCATTTCTCTTTCTGTTGCACTCATTTAAAAGTTTCGTCGTTTCTCCTTCCACAGTTTTGAGTTATGCTAAATTAAATCAATTCCGATAAACGTCGAATGTGCATGAGTAAAATCAGTATTCAAGTAATTACGGAATACATGTTAGTGGATTTAAGCCACGTTTCAGTCTTCCTTGTCAATTGTTCTTATTCTAAAATGACCATTAAACTTAGATGACTGGCGTCATACTGAGAACTAGAGATGTTAAAATACTGCCGAACACGAGAGAAAATATCAAAATCATTTTCATTTGGAAAGAAGTGGTCAGCCATTATTTCCTGAAGTATTAATGATTTTGAGAAGTGACGGCAAAGGTAGGTAAAAACTTGAGATCAAGTTGTATGACCTTCATGATTGAAGTTACCCCCAGTTTTGCGGTTTTTGCGGTCATCATAGGACCTGGACCCCAGAGAGTGGATTTCTCGATATTAGTTTCTGTCAATTCAAGTTGCATGCCAAAAAATATTCGGTTCCTCGAACAGCATCACAGAATTGAACTAATAGTATTTTCACTAATGCTGACCATTGATGCTGTTACGATGTTACGAAAACGTCACTTAACAAGTGAAGTCGCGCTGCTTCCAACTTTGTTCCTGCACGCTTTATTCCTCAAATTTTGGCAAGAAAGTCGTTGTCTTGTGTTCACACCTTCCCCCCCTGCCCCGACAAAACTTGACATTAGGCATTTTCACGTCGTAGTCGTGCAGTGACGGCAACGAAATGCCAAAAAACCGCTATGCACGTTCAGAGTTGTTGTTTTGTCAATCTAGTTTTTTGCCGTTCTCGCTAACGTCGCCGTCGTCTTTGCTTACGAAACAAACGGACGAAACAAACCCTCTTTACTTTAAGTCGGTCACGCGAAAGGAGTAGAATTATCCCTTTATCGTCGACAAACAAGTACTTGAGCGCAAGCTGCTGAATATTTTCAACAAAATTTAAAATAAGCAATCGAATACCTCCTTCTTTTGTGTACACCGCAACAAAGGATTATGTTCGCCGTATTTCTGATCTCGGAAGTGTGACAGTTACCCTGCGAGCAGAGGCTACATTTTCGCGGTATGAGCAGGCGTGCGAAAAGTAGCCCCTGCCGACAACTACTTTTCGCATGCTCGCAGGGTATGTGACAGTGTTAATTAAAAAAAAAAATTCAAACGCAGCAAGATTGTAATTAAAGGAAACTTATCACACCCACAAACGAACGTTCCTTGAGACATGACATGCAATCACCATCTTTATTTAATCTTTTTGTGCATTTAAGCGTGTATGAGCATAAACGTTTTCCGTATACATGTGGTATTCAGAAAATTCCTGAAGATATCAAAACATTTTCCAAGGGATTGCCCTTTTCATATACAATCAATTGAAAGAGAATCCTAAATTTTTGATATTATTTGCTGTTCTCTACACGAAGGTTTTTTCAAGAATGAGTGCGAATTTTAACGACTGAGTTCGTACGACATTTTGAGTTTGAGGAAAGTCAATTGCAGAAATTCAATGAATCTTGTTCGGTACTTAAAGTATAAAGGAAATGTCCTGACGTCACTATTTCAATTAGGCATACGCAGTTAGAAGTCAGTTTAAAGTTCCCTCAAAGTAACTTTACTTGAAAACGTAAGTTAGTAAAGTAAATAAACTGTGCGTAAATTTCATGACTTGGTATTTGACCGTCGGCAACATATAAATATCACTTGTGCCTTTCGGTTGGTTAATTAAATCTCACTAGCTACTTGATCGAGATACGAAGAAGAGTAAGTCTTCAAGGTAAGCAGTAACTTAGGACGTGTACAAATAACCCTAGCTACCCTAACCTTAAACATTGGAAATAATGATGAAAAATGTTGTGTTTATGTAAGCTTATCTAGGTCTCACTCGTTCGCTCTTTTGCGATCTTTCGCAAAAAGTGAATAAACATCGTAGAAGCAAACCAACCATGAAGTGATTTGTTTATCAAATTAGTTCTGAAGTTTCAGTAGTTCAGTCTTTAGTCACCCAGGGACTGCGAAGAGCGTTCCTCTATAGTTTAGTAAACAATAGGATAATTGTCTTCCATGAACAAGAAACGAAAGGAAAAAAAAATTTAAACGTAACATTTTATCTTGTGACAAATGCGTTTTCGTTTCGACTACAATGTTAACATTTTAAATTAAGATTACCATCCATTTATAGTCTCAATGCAATCGGTTGAATGATGCCCGTGGATCGTTTGGGATAGGTTTGATTGATTAATTTCTTTTATTATAAGCTGTTGGCTCTCTGTTCAGTAAACCTCTCGTTTTTATGCAACACTGAGTCAAAATGACTGTTCTCATTGGGGCCGTTTTGGTCAACAAGAAATCATTTGCCGATAAACTTCGACAGTAAAATTATTTTAAAGAGAAAATTCAAGCAATTTGGACCAGTATCTTCTTGAGATGAGATTATTTGTCAGTGGGTGTCTTTTCGCGGAAGAGTTTGCTTATATCGTGGGTTATGTTTGTTGGAAGTTCGTTTCAGTTGGGCTTCTTACCGTGAAAACCTTTTTCCCTAAATCTACCTTTGAATTCATGTTACACCCAAGCAAACCCACAATAAATTGGTTCCTCCTCTGATGGATCAGAGACTGGACTCAGCTCCGTAAATCGATCGGCACCGTTGAGCCAACTTGCCCTTTTCCCAATCCGGTGACTGAAATGAATCTAAAAATGCTTTCCACTGAGCATTGAAGTATAAAAAAAGACAATTAAACAAGAAAAGAAAAAGACAAGAGAGAGACAAAAAAGTTGGAGTCATCACGAAAGGATATTGAACGCTAGTCATCCACCCAGTTCCTAATCAAGTCCGGCAGGGGTTAAGTTGAGTGACACACGAGATACTTATTTCTATTTCATATGCAAATGTGGGAAAATCATAGTGCCTGCAAACATTGAGAACAATAAGAGTAAAGAATAAAAGAGACTTCAGATGAGTGGTCACATGATATTACCTTAACGACACGCTGTGCTGAACACAGATAGTGCTCAACATGTACAACAGGTGGTTCAGACTAGAGCTCATAATGAACTATACTTTATATATTTTGCAGGGTGAGATGAAAAATGACACTTAGTCAAATATCTTGCTTAAACTTGATCCAGGAGGCTAAAATAGAGCTAGACTTTCTTGATTTAGTAGATGATTTTCCAAGTTTGTATGCTGGTCCTGTCCTCAAAAATGCTATTAGGAGATATGAAATGTTCTGGCTCCCACTGGCAGCTAGAGAGGGTAGCGCCAGTAGACTCCTTGCAGCTCCATTAGACATTGCTTGGGTGTGGTATCTTCACATGTTGTCACCACGAGATTATGAACAGGACTGCATGAACATTGTCTCTCAAGCTGTTGACCACTTGCCTATGGACAGATACCAGAGAGGAACAGGTCTTCAAAACGCACGATACTTGTGGGAGAAAACCTATCCTACAGAACAGTTTGAAGTCGACTTGAACTATCCTACTTCGTTTACTCAGCCACACCGATTGAAAATTCGTTATGACATCGAGAGAGCGTCCTATTGCCAGTCCAAGTTCTATTATCAAGTATCACTCTCGCACTTCACTGATAATAAATTTTTGGCAAGTGCTGTTGAGCGATACGAACACCATTTGTATAACAAAAGTCAGCATCCCCAAGCTCCGAGGATTCCGTGTACCGATATCGACTTGATTTGGCACGCACACCTACATCATCCACTGAACTACAAGCAAGTGACGTCAGAAATTTTTGGGGCAGTTGTGATCCCTGGAAGCCAAGAGTCAAATCGTAACAAGGGAATCATTTCGTACGGCACTGAGACTGGCACTAGGACAATATGGTGTTTCAAGTATCACAAACCAGGAACCGTGCACAGAGGTGAACCTCCTCATCCCAGACCTCCAGGGCTGCCGTATGTCATGAAAATTTTGCAGGCAGAGGTTGTAAATGTGGACGCCAAGAAGACCTTTACTGTCCGTATTTATGATCCTACGGGCGGGCTTATTGTGGAAACAACGATTCAAGGTGGACACTGTCGCAATATAATATCTCAGTGCATCGTTGACAATGAAAACCTCCACAATATAACGGTATCATTACACCAAAAGACAAAAAATGGTCTTGAAAGTGCCATTGGCTCATCTAAAACGAGCCTGATCTCCTTTATTGACCCATTTCCATGCGGCGGAACAATATCTGAACTGCCGTGGGTGATCGATATCCCTGTGAAGTCTGCAAAAGCTATCGTCAGACTGACAGCTCAGTTGAATTTCCATCATCATTGTCTTAAAGTTCAGCCAGAAATTAACTCCGCGGAGGTCAACCATGCGTCTGTGGTACTCAGTTTTCCACAGACGATGTTCTCACCTAGACATCTTGCAAAGAATGAACTGCCTTGCGAATCTGTTATGCAAACTTTGCTAGACTGCAGAGGGTATGAAGTATTCAAGTGCCGCGTTGTTCGCAGTTCTACAGGTTTGCTATCGGCAGTGGAGATCATCAGTCTTGACGGTATTGTTGTTGCATCTTCTCACACAATAGATCTCGACACTCTTCCCGATAAAGAAGCGATTGAAGATCACACAAGATGTGCTTATTGGAACCACGCGAAGGGTGGAAGGGCCATGCTTGTCAGAGGTAGAAAGGATTGGGGTATTTGTATTGGAAAATGGCAAAGAGGAAAGATGTTCAATCGATCCGCTGGTCAAGTGAAAATCAGGCTTTTTAAGATTCACGGTGCAAGTAGGTGGTGTGAAGTACGCAATGATAAGGGTGGACTGTACCTAATTTGTCTTGACTCGGGTACGTCATTGCATGTTGATTTGTATAGAGGAGTGTTTTCCATTACCCCATCGGCTCGGGATATTCCAGAAATCGTTGCCTTAGCGCTTTCTGTGTCTGCAGTCAATGTCCTTTGCAAACCATATATATCAACGCCCTGCAAGAAATCTGTGCCATCCTCTAAGCAGAGAGCTACAAGCGACAAAGGATTCAACACAACCGGAATTCTCAAAAGTACTAAAAGTGGTGGTGGCGGTCGCCTTAGAGCTATTGGTGATCTGGAAAATTTTGTTGTGTTTGATGGCTTTATTGGCGATGGAGGTGGAGGTGGGTGCAGTAGTGGTGGTAGAGGAGGTCGGATTGGGGGAGGTGATGATGGTGGTTGTGGTGGTTTAGGTGGTTATGGCGGTGGTGGTGGAGGTGGAGGTGGTTGCGATGTTGGTGGAGGAGGAGGGGGTTGTGGAGGTGATGGTGGTGGTGGTGGAGGAGGAGGAGGTGGTGGTGGTGGATGCCATGGCGGTGGTGGAGGAGGTGGAGGTGGATGCGATGGTGGGGGTGGAGGAGGTGGGGGTGGAGGAGGAGGGGGTGGTGGTGGTGGTGACTAACTAACTATAGTACACTTCAAACATTCTACAGTCTCACAGCTGCTTTTACAATGGACGAATGCAAGATAAAAAGACATGCTGCTTTGGTTGGAGCTGATTATACTAGACTGCTGTTATCGCCGCAGTGGTAAGAATCTGTAATACCGCGCACGGTGCGAAAAGTAACTAACTTTATTTTTGGGAACATAGGTGCATAAGAGTGGTGACATGCATTTGGATATAAATTACTGACTGCAATACAAACAGACGCTTTAAAAAGAAAGAATTTTGAGCTATATATGTGCAGGAAAAAGCCCAAAACTAACTGAAGACGGTGCTTAATGTCGGTTATAACGAGAAGCAAATGTCGAACTTTGTTGTGATATCGGCACCAAGAAATGTGCCCAAGTCCGTAATGGAGACATAAGAGAGTAACAGGAGTTTTTTTTTGCAGTCAAACGTACGTAGTTTTCCGTGGATTCAGCATCTGTTTATGTTAGCGAGTTGGCCGGTAATAGTGGGGTGTCCCCAAGTTATTCCTGTACCAAATACCAAGCGTTTCTTAGTAATTTTTTTGTTATTGAATGTAACCGACCGTGGACAACGTCACACAGCTCGATTTACTTCGCTTCTTGTTCAGTTTTGGCCATTTTTAACCTCTTTTATTTCGTCACCACCTATTGCGTTTTTTCGTTTGAGAATAAATTTGCTTACATTTTTTAGTTTTTGGGTACCTTGGTAAGATATTATTTTATTCTATGGCTATAAGACGACGCACGCTCTGATTGGCCGTTTTCTTGTAATGACATGGCATTACTAGCTTGGTGTCCAAGGCATATACATCTGTGTTTAACTTGATAGTAGACATCCTTATGGACATCCATGTTATGTAGCGTTATTTATAGTGATAATTATATATATATTTTTCAATTTTTCAATCTATATTTCTGTACCAAGTTCTCGCTATAGTTAACGGGTTACGCTTACGCGCCCCGTCACACTATTTTAACTGTATATAGCATACAAAAGTTTTAACTGCATAATAAAAAACATGTTTACCCAGGATGACTGCGTCAGTTTAGAAAAACTGGTGGCCGTTAATGCAGGTCCTGCTAATTAAAATCTGTCTAAAAAACTAAAAGGAAAAAGAAGACTGACAAGAACACTACACAAATCACAAAAGTTAAAATTGATGCTATAAAAACTATTTATATAATATGAATACGAATTAAGGCTTATTAAAATTATTAAAAATCCTCGCCTCCTTTGTAAAAGAATGATTGCTGCGTGCACTTAAAATTCACTTTTACCAAAATTACGTTTTCACTGTTTCTTGTGTTATAGCTATGAATGTGAAAGTTGCGTAACTTAAAGTAATTTCGAAGATAGCTAGGTGCGTTGTTTCTAATACATATCTTGACGAGAGAAAGGACGTGGGCTTCTCTACGCTTGTTTAAAGGCTCCCAACCCAATTTGATAATGATTTCATCCGTAGACAGCTCCGCCCCAGAAGAGAAGTAAACTATTCTCGCAGCACTTCTCTGTAAACGCTCGACCATGTTATCGCACAGGGTCCAGAGGAGTTTCGTGTGAATAAATGAGTTACTTATTTAAAGTGTCACTTCGAAAAATGTCTATACCTGTCGCTTAGCAAGATTAATTAGCCCAATGGGATCTTTATGAATCTACTGTAAACGATTTCTTTGCTTCTTATCTGACCCAGATCGACTTTGTTGTTATAAATCAATAAACGCAAGCCATATGCTCGCTGGCGCACGGCACGTCGCCTCAAGCCGATCTTGCGAGCCCTCAGTCTGGTTTGCTGTTTATAGAATGTGTATAGAAACTGTAACGCGATCGACAGACATTTGTAATAACGGAAGACGGTCTAATGCTTGTTTACAAGTGTGCATATACAATCGAAACGTAACTCTCATTTCACAAACGCAAAAACCCTTACTTTAAAAATACAGTACACTATCACCCTCAGTCACTACAAGAGCTAATATAAGCACGTATTTGTATACATCTTTGAAAGATAAAATTAAAATGGGTTACAATACCTTTTAACTGGGGGAATAATAAAATCACGATAAAGGTTTCGACCGAAGTTCAGCGGTTGGATTCTTCATGACTATGGACTATGCCTAAATTACGCTCAGCTCCCCAAGCTTACATCTGTGTAATTTAAACAAACTGAATTTAAAATACCGATTTTGTCTCAGGAGCTACCGTACCGGAGTTCTCTGCTGAAGTGAAAGCAAACACTTATGAGAAGAACTGGCCATTCTTCCGTCGGTTTGGAGCTCGATCGTTCCCTGAAGAACATCTTAGGAAAGCACACTCCGAAGTGGAGGAATTCTGTAAGATTTTACGGCACGAAGGGGTCGTTGTGCGGCGTCGATCCACAGGAAAAAATAACAGATTCCCATTTTTGGATATTTTAGGGTATTTAAAGAATACCCACAAAAATCCAAAATTTGGAAGAGTGAGACAAGTCCCAATTAGGGAACTTGGTTGGGAATTGCCTGATTGGGACTTGTCTCACTTTGCCAAATTTGGGATTTTTATGGGTATTCTTTAAATACCCTAAAATATCCAAAAATGGGAATCCGTTATTTTTTCCTGTGGTCCTGAAGCAATCGACTTCTCAAAGGTAAAACTACTGAGAAGCCCAGAATTTATATTTTCTGAGTACAATGATTTATTTGAAAAGTTTTGGAACTACATATGAAAAGCATAGTGAATACACACTGAAAATCAAGATAGACATTTTAGTAGCTTGTGATCTCTTTACTGGTTCATGGTCGCCAATTTACGCCCAAAAATTTATATAACAAATAATTATTGAATGAGTATCGTCTGAAGATTTATGGAAATCGAGGAGGGTGTACGGCCTCAGCGGATAACACTCTCCGATATCTTCATAGGCGGATAACACGGGTGACCTTCTGTGATCTCCATATTTTAATAAAAGTCTTCAGATGATACGGAAGCCGAATTCAATTTCTTAAAATTAAATTATAAAGTCATGACAAAAGAAAATTATCCGTCTCTGATATTAAAAAGAAAGAAGTTAAAAAGAATAAAATCTCGTATTCCTAAACTCCTAATTCTTTCAAATGTTCCTGAAAAAAAAAAGTTTAATTCATGCAGGCCGTAATGTTTCGATCTGTAAATCTGAGTCAACAAAGTCTAGCTGCCGTCTTCTGAGCCTCTCATGATCAAGCATAGTATCGCAGAGCGTGGGATGGCGAAAGACATGCACTTTAGCTCTTATCCAGGAAAATTGCGGCTTGAGTAACTTTCTCCCTTCTTGTTTGCGATCAGCTCCGCAAGTCTGCTGTGGTACTTAACACATTCATCCGCCATCCCGTCTGTGGTCGTGAAAACTAGGGGAGTGAAAGTTCCCTGTTCGATCTCCATTACTCCGTTCCGCATACTGCCTCTTCTCGTTCCGATGCTTTTTGAACATCTGCCTTACGGGCCAAGTCTCTGTAAGAGCCTGCATTGGGGTGACACACCCGAACATCGAAAAAGCCGAATTCAATAATTGTTTTATTATTCATTCAAAATAACAACCTCGAACGAGGTTGTCAAAATAATTCCTAGTTTATAAACAAGCTAAAACATGCTTACCTCCATCGAAATTAAGTTCATCTTCGATTATGCACGTTAATCGGTAAGTTTAGGAGTTAAAGGGTTGTTCAGCGTCACAAATATTTTTTCCAGATAGTAGATTTCACCCTTTGAGTTGTCTTCATGCTGTTCTTCTATGTTTTTAGCCAATAGTTCGCCTATTCCTTCCTGGTGAAACGAGTAAAATGTCTGCAACTTTGCTGCACTTTTGACGTCACCAGTTCAATATGACAAAATTTTTCCAAACTTGATCGACAATAGCTGGTTACGATGAATTATGCGTGTGATTTTAGCCAATCAGAAACGGAGAAATATTCTGAATGAAAAACAATATATATGTATATATATAAACACGATTGTGGCTTCCACAGATTGTCCCTTGCATGACACAAAGATCACCCGTTCTTTATCAATGCATCCTCCTATGCGTCATTGATATTTTGGCTAACGATTTTTTTTTTTTGCATCGTCATACACGACTCCAGATTTTACGTCTTCTGGGATGTACGCAGCTATGCCACGAGACATTCTGACTGTTGTCGGCGATGAGATCATCGAGGCCCCCATGGCCTGGCGATCACGGTTCTTTGAATACCGCGCTTACAGGCCCCTTCTCAAGGAGTACTTTAAACAAGGTGCCAAATGGACTACTGCGCCTAAGCCACTTATGAGTGACGACGACCTGTACGATCAGGTAAACATCTTGAATTTTAACACCTTCACCTATCCAGGTCGCTTTTTATCAGGGCTCAGAAATGATTTAGAGCTAATCGCTCGTAACCACTTTTTAACTTTCACAAAGAGCCTTACTCTTTAATTTGCCGACTGCACGAGGAACAGGTGGAGGCTGAGAACAAAAGACAAGTGTGAATAGCAAAACTCGCATTCGTAGCCAGTCCTTTAGTCAGTGAAGAAGCTGGCTAAAAAGGCCTTTGATTTACCAGGTGGTAAAAAAAATGTCAAGCATCGCAAAATTTGACCATTAATTTTCTTTTTTTTAAGACGTAAGCATTTTATTAACCTTTTTAGAATGATATTATTTTCTTATTTTCTGATCTTCTATCATCATGATCATACAATTATACAGATCCCATACAAGAATTTTCTCACTTCAAAAGGGAATAAGCAAGGTTTCCGTCCACCAATCCCTTCCAAACAATGTTGTGGTGCTGTTCAAGCTGCCGGTAAAGAAAACATCAAAGAAGCTAACTTGAAATGAGGGGGTGGGGGCAGTTTTATTTTCTGACAGATGTCTGGGCCATTTGACTCGGTTTTTGAAAAATTTTGTTTCCAACTTAAGTTAACAAATAACTTCTAAAATATAAGTAAACTTTTTTATCTTTTACATTTATGTCCTCAGGATTACCCGATACAGACAGTTGAGGACAGCCATCAGCTGGCAGCCGAAGGAAAGTTTGTTACCACTGAGTTTGAACCGTGTTTTGACGCTGCGGACTTCACTCGAGCAGGGTGGAATATTTTCGTCCAAAGAAGTCAGGTATAAAAAATTTAAGCTGGCTTTGCTACTCTTGAACCATGCAATATTTTTCAATGTATGTTAGCGATAGGTAGATAATGCCATTGAAATTCATTGGACGGTTATTGAACGATGGTCGTGTGCAACAGAACTTAGTATTGAGCGTTTTTTATGGGATTTCACGTCGACTACTTTGCTTTTCCAAAATACCGTAAAATTCCGAAAATAAGCCCCGGGGCCTATATTTTCAAAGGCCCTTTTTGAGGGGCTTATTTTTGGTGGGGCTTATCTATGGAGGGAAATTTGCGTTTCAAAATTGATTGGGCTAGCCTTATAGTTGGAAGTAAATTTACCGTTTTTGCTTTGTTCTACTTTTATCTGAGGGCAATTTCCAAGTACAAGCCCCCCCGTGGGGCTTATATTTGGAGGGGCGATTTAACGGAGGGTTTTTTGCGTTACCAGTTTGGGAGGCTTATATTTCGAGGGGCTTATACATGGAGGGGCTTATTTTCGGAATTTTACGGTAGTGAAACTTGCCCGCGGCCATATTGGTGTACCAATCCAGTCCTGTGGCATTTAAACTCTTTTTCATGCAATAACTTTCTTTTGTTCCAAAAAACTAACTAATTCACTGGTCACGTAGGTGAAAACGCTCTATAGTGAGTGATCGTTACTGAGCCAGGAAATAATGGTTCCTTAACACTTTTATTGTAGAGAGCTTAAGCAACGACGACAACAACGGTAGAGAAAACTTAACTTTTTAAAAAGTTAATTTTCGTTCTCTCCCTGAGCTTCATTGCTACTCAGTTTCCGATTTACCTGCCTGTTAAGTCAAAACGGTTTTGTTTTGAGTTTAATTCATGGGGACCGCACTTAAGTTTAGAAAGATTAAAAAAAAGCGAGTTGTGTTTTTACGTCGTCTATAAAACAGATGAAAAGTTGCGTTATAGGATTTCACGTCACAGTCTTGAATGGAAACTGACAGAAACATTTGTATATAAAGGGTGAAGTACGTGCATGGATATTATTCTCGTTACTATCGTCGTCTTTTCTAAAGCCTCATTATATCATTAGAAGACACAGCATCGTTCATTTTGTCCGTTCATATTTCAGGTGACTAACAACTTAGGTATCGAATGGATGCGACGTCATTTGGGTAAACAAGGATATAGAGTTCACAAGCTGTTATTTGACGATCCAAATCCAATGCACATCGACGCAACGTTTAACATAATCGGACCCGGATTAGTGCTGTCCAATCCTGACAGGCCTTGTCATCAGATCGACATATTTTACGAGGCTGGTTGGACAGTAATAAAGCCGTTACGGTCGAAAGGGAAATCGGCTTCGCTTCTCGTTCACGCGCCAAGACGAAGAAGATGATGATGAAGAAGAAGTCTCCAAAAGCCATAAACGCTTTATGGATAATGTTCAGACAAAATATCCATCGCTTTCCTGAGTGTATCACAGCGAAGTGCCATATCCCTGTCTCCTCTTCCGCCTCAGGTATGCCAGTTATCTTTAAAAACCTGTATATTTTGTTTTTAAAGTCCCGCCCACTTTAATCTAGTACAACATTTTATAATCACCTTATTTGATGGTTTAACGGTTGATACGTGATACGATACATGTCAGCCCGCAAATCAGTTCTCCGCTTAAGTATTACATAAGGAATTTATTTGACTCCACTTAATTTCCGTTCATTGTTCAAACAACTGAAATAATCTCCAGACCAGAACACAGGAAACAAGAATGTTTAATGTTCTTACTTAGCTCCTACGCATTTCCTGAAGTTCAGTGCGTGGTATCTGGACTAGAACTCGGGTGTTTTCACAGCTGCCTCTATCACTGACTGAAAAAATTCTTATTAACAGCATCGCTCTGGTAATGGATATACATGCTTCAAATGACACAGAAAATAGTTAAGTGAGAGACCATAGAGTTCCTCAATGGTTCCGTTTTTGGTGCTTAGCAATAAAGAAATATTAATGCCGCATTGCCGAAATAACTCAGATAGTCAAATCTTGGATTGACGACACATTTGGTGTAGCCTTATTGTGTTTATATTCAATGAACTTACACCACAGTTAACCGATAGGAAACTGTTAAGGATTTTTCAACATCTTTCTTGAGTTATAAAAGTTACAAAAGTTTTTGTGGTTACTTAAGACTGAGAGAAGATCACGTAGAATGAAATGATTAAGTTTTACTATTATGTTGCAATTATTATCATTTTGCTGTTTTAATTTAACGTAAGCTTTGCAGTCTAGAAAGCAAGCAAGCTCTTTTTCAAATTGTATAATAAAAATATCTCATACGATGCATAAACATCTCTACTTTACCGACCCCGAATCATGCTCAACAATCACTGTGCGCATAATAACGGCAATTTATTTTCCCGCAGAAAGTCAGTTAGACACATACATTAAATACATGTTAGGGTTCTTGAAGAATGAAAAAATTCACCAGTCTTTCCGCTTTGGTTTCAGGAAGCGTTCTGATATCACTAGTCAATGAGTTGTTCAATACGTCATTCGCATTTTTAATATAAATAACCTGTTGGTAAAGTTACTTATTAATAACTTCTGTCGTTAATAACATATCAATATCATTTAGGCGTCTTTTGGTTTGGGTAAATAAATCTCACTGCCAGAAATAGCAAGAGTCTAGATACCGAAGAAATATCAGAGTGAGCCGGCAAGGTAAGCTGATAGCCGTTTACAAACAACAATTTATAATTAATTCAAGCTGACAAAGCTAAAAGGGCAACACTTACCATGGCACGTAGCTATTCACACATTTTCAATTTAATGAGCTCACTACAAACTTGATTTCGCTTTATGACGTGTAGTCACTGTGAACAGTACTACGGGAAAGTCTAATATCACTGTTACATCCAGTCAAGCTCTTACTTCAAACTGATTCAGAAAGGAAAACAATCTCTTTTACTTCAAAGGTAAGGTTGAAAAAAAAATATACCGAAGTTTCTTCGATGAACCCTGCCAGTGCGAACGGATGTAACTTGCATTCATATGCTCTACTATTGTTTTGCAACCCTTGAAAATGATTTTGTGCAGTTGGTTGTTTATTATCGTCGTATTTCCATTTTAGAAGGATTGAATCGGTTTTATAAGAATAACGTTCAATGTGTTTCGAGCTTAGTCGTAGGAAATTGGCAGTATATCGAAATTAAACTAAATGCTCAATATTTCTGAAACTTTCCGCCGAGTGTTTTGCCTATTAAAAAATCATACCGCCTACGTTCGATTTACATTCTATGTTTTATGCGAAAAAGTCCTTAGTTTAAAGCTTTCTTTTATTGAATTTTAAAAGAAAGTTCAAGCGAAATTATTTATCGCAAGGATAAAATTTTGGCCAAAAATACATCAAAACACAAAATATCCACATTGCAAAATTTGCTTGCACTTATTGATATGACGTCTTGCATGTAATTTTAAACCTTAGTCATGACTAGAAATAAATTACACACGGGCGCATTCTGTACATGCAAAGCAATTATTCGCTGATTATATCGGTTATCTATTGATTGCTTTTATTGAACAGCTAGGTAAGGATGACTGTTTAGTGATTCAGCGTTTTAAATAGCAAGCTTCGTCTTAGCACGGTATTGGAGTTTGTCAATATATTCGCTCAACCACGATGCATTGTTAGCATATCTATGTCGTGGCCGTAAGTGTATTTTTAAGAATGCTCTTCAGGGAAAGTAGAAACGAGCGGATTGGTTTGTGAAAGTATTGGATCAAATTTTAGCTGAAAACCCTTTCGTTCGTCAATCATTTGCACAGCTTGAAGGTAAATTGGAGCCTCGTATTTTACTGCTTACTTTCTTCGCAATGAGAGTTTCTCTTCCTTCCCATATTTATACAAAAAATGCTCATGTAAAATACTTCCAGCGACTAAATGTCCCGAGTCCTTGCGCTCAAAATGACACAGTAATCGTCTTGTCTTTCAAGTTAGGCGAGCACAAAAGCTTAACGTATTTCCATTCCTAAAATTACGGAAACAGGAAGAGTGATTTCGCTTTACTACTGGCGACACGTTACGACGATGCTTAACATCACGTATTCATGCACGCAAGGGCTACTAATTATCATATGTTATTGTAATACATTATGGGTCCAGTGCGTGGGTAAAAATTCCTTTGTGTATTTTCTGTTGTCCTCACAATACTCCTTAATAAGAGATCGTGTGTGTAAAACTTGCTATCGATAAAAGTCCTAAATGGTAGTTCTAGGTAGCATTCCAACATTTTCGTTTCATTATAGAGGCTTATTCAAGAAAGAAGTGCATTGTTACTTCGAGTCCCTTCCATTATAAGCCCATAAGACTTTTAAGATTAAAAAACGAAATTGTTTGGCTCTATTTTTCCTATGGATCTGATCAGAGTTTAGTTTTTTTCTCTATCTGCATTCAGTCAAATAAATATATATATAAATATATATCCCACGAGGTATTACGTACATATCATGGATGACAAATTACTACTCAATTTTGGCGCGAAATTTCAGCGTAAAATTATAATTTCACATATGAAATGAAAACATTACCATGGCAACGTTTAGTTCGTCTCACTGGCAAGATGGCGTCCAAGTTTAAAATGAATGAAGATTTCAGGGCGTTAAAAGACGCTTTAGAAAACCTAAACACAGGAAATAGTCCATCAAGAAGGATTCTAAAAGGTATTTTGTCGAATAATACAGAAACTTGTGAACTTATTGGCCAAAATAGACCTTGTCACGGTTTTCGACGCCATGTTGACGAGTAGGCTAACGTGTGAGAAATTACAGTGTTTGTATGAGAATCTAATGTCGAATAATTTCTGTAAAACGGCTGTTCTGAAAAAAATATTACTTGCAAACTGAAGCTACAAGCAAAGAATTGTACTAAAATTTTTTTGGGACGTACTTACAGAGGCTTGCTTAAGATTTTCCATATATTTGCCTGTAATTTGTCATGAATGAAGATGTCAGGGCAGAAAAAGACGCTTTAGAAAACCTGAACACACGAAAGAGCACATCAAGAAGGATTCTAACAGGTATTTTGTCGAAAAATTCTGGAGTTAAGCCAAATTTAAGCTCTAAACGTTCGAGAGAGTGCAGGAGCTCTCGATCGATACGATCCAGGATAAACATGTCAAAAATCCAAGATTGCCAACGTAATTCGTCACCCATGATATTAATAGGTAATCAAATGGTATGCTCGTGAAATGAGGGAATAATTTCACTTGCGTTTTGTCCAAATCCTGATAATTTCCCTCGCCTAAAGGCTCGGGAAATTTTAGGATTTGGACAAAACGCGCGTGAAATTATTCCCTAATTTCACTCGTCACCATTTGATTACACATACTAATACAATATTCTAACGAAATTATTTACAAGATCAAATGTTCAGAGTGGTAAAAAGAAGACGAAGCCGGGGGCTTATAAACTATAGGCTTCCTGGAACTATAGGGTGAACCATGCAAATAAATGGCACTGATTGAAAATTTGGATTAATTAAAAAAAAATACAGAAAAGAAAAGAAAAGAAGAGAAAAAAGGAAAGAGAAAAAGAAAATGCAGTGTCCAGAATATGCCGCGGTCAAATTATACTTTTTGTCATGTCTGTGCTCATTTCAGATAGTCTCTAACAAGAATTTGTTAAAAGACGAGCTCATACTTAACTGTGATTTGTATTTTGCAGAGTCAAAATCGAAAAGTGAACCTCAAAGATGACTTTTAGCCAGAGGTTTCGCTTAAACCTGATCCAGGAGGCTAAAACAGAGCTAGACTTTCTTGCTTTGGTAGATGATTTTCCCAGTTTGTATGCGGGTCCTATCCTTAAAAATGCCATCAGGAGATATGAAATGTTCTGGCTCCCACTGGCAGCTAGAGAGGGTAGCGCCAGTAGACTTCTTGCAGCTCCATTAGACATTGCTTGGGTGTGGTATCTTCACATGTTGTCACCACAAGATTACGAAAAGGATTGCATGAACATTGTCTCTCACGTTGTTGACCACTTGCCCAAGAACAGAAATCAAAGAGGAAAAGGTCTTCAAAATGCACGATATTTGTGGGAGAACGCTTATCCTACGGAACAGTTTGAAGTCGACTTGAACTGTCCTACGCCATTTGCTATGCCATACGGATTAAAAATTCGTTACGACATCGAGAAAGCATCTTATGACCAATCCAAGTTCTATTATCAAGTATCACTCCCGCACTTTAACGATATCAAGTTTCTGGAAAGCGCTGTTGAGCGATACGAACACCATTTGCATCTCAAAATGCAGCATCCGCAAGTTCCCATGGTCCCGTTCACTGACATCGACTTGATTTGGCACGCACACCTTCATCATCCACTGAACTACAAGCAAGTGACTTCAGAAATGTTCGGGGCAGTAGTGAACCCTGGAAGCCATGACTCGAGTCTCAGCCTGGGAACCACTTTGCACGATTCTGAGACTGGCACGAGAGCTGTATGGTCTGCAGCTGGTTTCAAGTATGACAAACCAGGAGCCGTGTACAGAGGTGACCCTCCTCATCCCATTCCTCCTCGACAAAATGGGTATTACGCTTCCTTAGGAAGGCTTCAATACGAGATGAAAATACTGCAAGTAGAGGTTGTAAATGTGGATGTGAGCAAGATGTTCACGCTGCGAATTTACGATCCTACGGGCGGTCTGGTGGTGGATACAGTGATTCAAGGTGGACACCGTCGCAATATGACGTCCCAGTGCATTGTTGACAACGAAAACCTCCACAAGCTCACGGTATCTTTGCACCAGAAAGCTCTACGGGGTTTCGAAAGGGTCATTGGTTCATCTGAAACGAGTTTGCTGTCCTTCATTGACGCATGCCCATATGGTGGAGCAATACCTGAACTGCCTTGGGTGATCGATATTCCATTTAGTGCTGCACGAGCTATCGTGAGACTGTCGGCCAAGTTGAGCCCTCCGTCTATCGAAGGTTATCGGTTTAAAGTAGAGCCAGAACCTTACTTTGCCAAAGTTGACCATCCATCCGTGGTACTCAGTTTTCCACAGTCTATGTTCTCACCCAGAGATCTGGCAAAAAATTACCTGCCTTGCGAATCTGCGACTCACACTTTGCTAGACTGCAGAGGGCGGGAGTCCTTCAAGTGTCGCGTTGTCCACAGTACCGCAGGTTTGCTATCGGCAGTGGAGATCATCAGTCTTGATGGTGTTGTTGTTGCATCTGCCCACACAATGGATCTCAACACTCTTCCCGATAAAGCAGCAATTGAAGATCACCCAAGATGCGCCTATTTAGACCGTGTTGAAGGCGAAAGAGCCATGCTTATCCGGGGTAAAAAAGATTGGGGCATTTGTATTGGAAAATGGCAGAGGGGGAAAGTGCTAAATCGTTCCGCAGGCCAAGTTGAAATAACACTTTTTAAGCTCAAAGGCGTGAGAGGATGGTGTGAGGTACGCAAATTCAAGGGTGGTCTTTACGTGGTCTATCTAGAAACAGCTGTCTTTGCTTACGTGGATTTAAAGAGAGGATTGTTTGTGCTATCTCCATCGGCGCAGGATGCTCCAGAAATCATTGCTTTAGCTTTTTCCATGTCCATTCTCTATCTCCTCTGCAAGCCTTACAATCCGACACCAGCTAACGTTTCGTCACCATCCTTTCACAAGAAAGCTAAAGAAGATAAGGTGACCCCGATGCTTCTTGCTGCTGGATACAAGAGTTCTACAGTTCCAACGAATGTCTATCTTTTACGAAGCTTAATGGGCCCGTCAGCATCGGGTCCATCCCTGGACGGTGCGGGAACGTACGATCTGGATTCAGAATCCGGTCTTGATTGGATTAGAGAACTCATCAGAAAGAAACAGGAAGCATATCTTTTTCATTATATGAGTGGTGTGACCTATGAACTTCCATCCGAAAAGGAAGGTAACAGCACCTTACGCCGGACGAATGGAAGTTCCTTTACCTTGTAAGGTGGCGGAGAAAGGAGCAAAAGTCAGTGTTGAGAGGACGAAACGATTGATTAAATCAACCTCGAGAGTAAAGAAACCGTAATCTCATTACGTTTTAGAATCTATCGTTGGACATTCTCGGGACCGTAATTCATTGTTCTCATTAGCGCGAGTCCGTAATAGATTGCGTCATTCGAACGTCCCTAATTTTTGCCAGGGATCTCGCTGCGGTCCGTTTTGTGGGGCCGGTTTACTGTCACTTAAAATAGCGAGGATCCCGTAATTTGACAGTATTTAGTTATAGATTTAGTTGGGAGGTTGCTAAGCACGATAGAAGAGCTATCGTCTCGTTCGACACAGTTTCTAGAGTGGTTAGCAAACATCTCAAGTGCACCCACGCGAAAAGGACAATCAAAGCGCGCGTAGTGTTTACTACATTGTATAAAACTTATTAGTAAAATCCAACTAGTGGTCTATTATCAATGCTGCGTTCTGATTGGTTGAGCTACTACTAGGCTATATGTTATACCCCACTAGTAGCGAAAAGCGCGGGCTTTTTCGCGGCAAAAAAAGGATTAAAGTCTAGCTTTAATTCGCTAAAAGTTTCTTATTCTCGGTATTTTTGACCAACTAGTTGGATTTTACTAAAACAATTATTCCTCTCGCCTTCATGGCCTCTGATGGGCTATTGACTCAGAGCCCTTTCGGGCTTGAGGAATAATTGTTAAATATTTAACACTGTGCCGTTGAACCATTAGTTTTATAGCATATCAAAAAAGAAAGCCATTTAAATTATAGGTAGTAAGAGAGTGGAAAGTGTGTTCTCATGTGCTCGCCAATACGAGTAAAGTTCATGCCTTGCAACTTCTTCTCTTAAAAATTTCTTTTGCTGAAATTTTGCAAAATTATAGTTTCCTTTATAAATTGACTTGTGTTGTCATGCGCCAGTAGTAGATTGGTAGTTGGCCTACCAAAGCGCTAGCTTTAGATCTAGCCTGTTTATCTTTTAATAATACATATTGTTAATCTCCTTGTATTTGTTACATGCCATAATCGAGATGCAACTATAAATAAAGGAAATGAGTAATGATTAACTGCTGGTGAATATTAATATCGTTATTGAGCTATGATTGACTTTATAATCAAGATGACATTTTGTATGATTAATATGTTAATTGATTAATTGCTGGTCTGTACATGCTTCGCTGTGCAGCCTAAATCAGACCTTGGCTAGTTTTACATTTAACCTACTTTAAAATTCCGTAAATCTTTTATGAAGCCTCCCTCTCTAATAAGCACCCTCCCCTCCCCTAATTATTCTTCACTAATAAGTGATAGACTGTATTAACCATTCATGACTGTAAAACTTTGTGTGGACTGATCCAGAATGGTTTACTCACCAGCTGGATGTTCGGATTTGTTTCTTATCCTGGGCTGCGTGACTTCCAACTTTTTGTACTTGAGCTTTTCCACTTTGTATTCTGGTTCTTTATGGAGAACTGATAGCATCGTCTTTGCTAAATTGAACAAGCCCCTCCTCTCAAATAAGTCCCCCGTCTCTTTTACGACCCCCCCTCAAGTGGGTTTGAAATGAATATTCCCCCCCCGCCACTCGCCGAGGGGCTTAATTAAGGATTTACCGTACTCAACTTACTCCAGGAAGTATTTGAAAACTTGCGTTATGAACCCGGCCATGGAACAGCAAAACACATTATTCAATTAATTATTTTTGTTCATTTTTTGTTCGATCCTATAATAAAATTCCTTTGAATGACTGGTTGAGTATATAATCAGTCAAGTCTTTCAAGGAGCTCTAAGGTCGCCGAGAGCATCGTCAGGCTTATCAACCTGCAATTCTTGATTAAATTAAAGCGAATTCACGAAGTGCATCAATTAGTATCGACACGTGTGGGAGTTACATTGGAAATTAATTTTCCACTTTTGTCTTATAGTATCTTGTGAACACCAAAACAATAAAATTGTTTTTTGCTTTAATTCAAATGTTTTGAAATTGGCGGTGAGACTAGATGCTATTTTGAACTGAAATTCTTAAAACACTGTAAAATATTTTACGTTAATGACTCGCATTAAGACAACTTTGAATCTCTGTTTAAAACACTCTTAAAATTTTTGACATTAATGGCTTGCATTAAGGAAAACGTGATTCTCTATTTACAAAATAGTTGTTTACTGGGTAAAGCATTGACATGTGAGGTCATGGCATGAGGTCCAAAGTGTCTTTTTCCCTAATTTATGTTCCCCTAACACCTGCATTCGACACTTAAGAAACTACAGAAGAGAACTGGAACCGAAATGCGTGCCGCAATTGTTTCTGGGATCGTTACTGGAGACGCGCCGCTCAGCTATTGGCTTACTTGTCCCCTGTCCCTATTAACAGTCCCAGAAGTCTTTGCAAAGTTAACTCGTCCCAGTTTCCTTTTGGTTTCTAAAGTGGCGAATTTTCATTCGGCATATATACACATATTCACATGTTTACAGTTCAATTGCAGACAAGAGAGAAAATTCTCTCTTTGTACTGACTAGTGATGAAAACTTATGCCCCTATACTCATATTAGCCGATCTTGTATGGTCCTTGTTATTGCTATTAGTATTTTAGTAGGTTGATATAGTTTGTAGGGAAAACTGGTTATCAAACCCGAGAAAATGAAAACCAATTTTGATTAATGGTGCTGCAGGTTATATTCGGAGTTCCCTGGCGGTGCGCAATATTTTGTTTGTGAAAAGCAGCGGCCACAGAACTGGAACAACTCATTCATTCACATGGAACATCGTGTCGGAGCGGTTGACCGAGTGGGCTTGGTGAACTAAATCCTAGTCTTCACTCCTAAATATTAACTTTCGTCTCAGTGGATTCCAGTCCTAGTTCCTATTTATTCCTCTCTGAGAAACTGTTACCTTTGAAATACCACAAGTCTCATGATACAAGGTCTCGTTTGCCTTATCTCCTTCCTATTACCCGTACCAATAGCATGAAGCGGGTTCTTTTACAATGCAGTTAAACAAAACTGTGGGATAATGTCAGCGACAATGATCAGTGAGTCTGCTCTTCTGGTGTAAAAAAGTTCAAAAGAAATTTCTTTGATTCACTCATGTGTAAATTCACGCCTGACTGTTTCAAAATTGACAGAATATTTTAGCTTTCAAATGATTTAATATTTTAAAATAATTTATTATCTTAAGGTACTATTTAAGTTTTTATTCATGTGTAAATTCGAGTAAATTATTGCCTGAGAAGTTAAGAATTGACAGAATTAGTTTTAAGGATTTTAGAATTTTAGTAGTAGTCAAAATGCATAGCAAGATTTACGCGTGCCAGCCAGATTTTGACTGGATATTGCGCCGGGGGGGGGGGGGGGGGNCGGGGTATAAAAAATTGTGGATCACGGCTTTATCTTCTGCTTAAAATTGTTGCTGATTATGAAGAAGCATTTATTTGATGTATAAGTCGAACAAATAAAGAAATATCTTTTTAAAAAACAGGGCTATTTCAATTTACGAACTTTCTGGAACGGAGTATAAAAAATTGGCCCATTTCTAGAACGGGGTATCAGTTTTAGGGCGAATTCTAGAACGGGGTATAAAAAATTGGCCCATTTCTCGAACGGGGTATCAATTTTAGGGGAATTTTTTTTAGAACGGGGTGCCAATTTGGAGTCCCGGGGGGCACATACCCACCCAAAAAATACCCAAGTGCCCCCCCCCCCCCGGGATATTGCTAAACGATAATCTGCACTTACCAAGTCTGCATTAAACCAGTTATTGTTTGACCATTTGATGATTTCTGTAGCTTCTCTAAGGGCCATCTAGCTAATAATAACGCATGCAAAAGCGATTGAAATCTCACGTGTACGGAGAAAATAATACAATATCCTTTTGTGACGAGCAAACCCCATCTGCGGCTCACTATAACAACGCCACCAAGCTACCTGACTCAATCAATTTCAGTATGTTGCCCATCTAAAAGTATCTCAACGCCCCTGAAAATCGGAGGTCATGTCAAATTCTTAAAAAGTAAAGGCTAACGGTGTTTGACGTAAACAAATTGCCTGAATAGTTTAGTTTTTATTAGCGTCAGTTGAGACAAGAAGAATATAACTTTTGACAGGCCATTTATGAATCTGTTTCAGAGCGGGGCTTAGTACAAAGCTATTGATATGAAAATAATATTTCATTCCCATACAAATAAAAGAAAAGTTTTACACTCAATAATAATAGTAATAATAATGAGAATTTTTGAAACGCGGAAATGACCCATTTCTGGTTTACCTTATTTACTGGTTTACAAGAAGATACCCAGAGTTGAGAGGCTTTGCCCCCTTTGTAATAGATCCAAAATTGGTGATGAATTCCACTATTTGTTGAAATGTACCCACTCATCACTTTCTCATATAAGGGGTATCTTCTTGGAGAGCCTATACTCGATAAACAGTAATTTTACGAATATGTCTTGTAAGGCACTATTTTTATATATCATGTCTATGTGCGATGAAAACATCATAAATCTCAGCGCCTCTTATATTGAAAATATTCTAAATTGTTAGGGATCCGAACTCTAATTAAACTTTCTTACCATACGAGTAGCGTAGAAGCCGTACATAGCCAACTAATTTTTCTTTTATGATAATATTCAATCGTTCCTTTCTTTCTTACTTAACTTTTATTTTACTTTTTTTATTTATTATTGTTTTGGTACTGAAATGTTCATGTCGAAGATAAAGTCAATAAAGTTGTTGTTGTTGTTGTTGTTGTTGTTATTATCGGCTGCATTATTGGATATTGGGTGAAGCGAATTCTCCCATCTTCATATATAGGATAGCTGAAAACTCTAAAACAGTTTGAGGCCAAAGTGACTTCTTCCTACGGACTCGGGCAATTGTTGTTCCGTTTTAGCAGCCGAAAATTTCAAACAGAGATTTATCGAGAACGCTGTCATTAAAATGACAAAAATTTGTACAGCTCAAGACAGTCGGTATGAAATACAAGCTCTTGTACGCTATAATTCTTATTAGCTTCAAAAACGAATGTCTAGTTTTTTCACAAATTATGGAAAAGTAATTATGGCAATGGCGTCACCGTGTTGCCATGGATACATCGATCTCGAAAGAGGGACTTTTGGAAACCTCAAGCCATACCACTTTTAAAATAAGCGATGCAATATTCTATTTCCTGCTTTCTTTCAGGTAATATCTTCGTATTTTGAGTTCAAATAAAGAGAGTAGGTATTGTTAATGAAAAACCGAGTCAGGTCACCTTTAATAACAGCTTCCATACATCACTTAATTCAACCAGGCTATGAATATCACTTTGTATTGATGCCCAGTGACTGACGGATAACTATATTTACATTTATCACCAAGCAATAAAGGAATCTCAGTGTAGCACTGCAGAAATTAACGGC